AAATATTACGGAAGGAATTAAAGGCGAAAGATGGCAACTTCTCTATGGTTTTTACTATTGCGTGCAGATCTTAAAAATTAGATATGCATTTGACACCCTAATGCCCGGAGGGCATGCCCAATGACCCCGTGCCCCCAACCCTAAAATAAAGGCATGGTAAAATTCAGATAATTTCGAAATCTAATAATCATGTCAGACGCTTTGAAAAGAGTTTTTCAACAGGCTAAAGAGAAAAGTATGAATTCTCACTAGTCTCTAGTATTTTAAGTTTTTCGTTTAAAATTTTAATTTTATTCAGTATACTCTTTAATATCTTTAAGAAAGGCCCGTATTTGTTGCCTTCCTAACTGCTGGGTACCCCGACCCTGAAGAGACTGTTGATATTCTTCTTGGCCTCGAAGAAGGTGGAGCCGACATAATTGAATTCGGTAAGATGTTTCATGTACGATTTAAGCTTACCATTTAAGTAAAGTATTAACTTGTTCAATTATTTAGGCATACCTTTTACGGATCCATTGGCTGATGGGCCAGTAATTCAAGAAGCCAATAATGTAATAAGCAGATACATTCTACATAATTCGAACAAATCACGCGATTCGTCTCTTAAATAATTTAAATGGTTCCTTCTATAGGTTGCTCTTAAGCATAATATAGATATAGATCAAAGTTTATCCTTTATCTCTCAAGCTCGTGCTCGTGGTCTTAAAGCTCCGGTGCTTTTTATGGGCTATTATAATCCAATGCTAATTTATGGTGAAGAAAAGCTTGTAGAGAAATGTAAAAAGAATGAAGTCAATGGCTTTATTGTAGTCGATTTACCACCAGAAGAATCTGATAATTTACGCGGACTTTGTACTCAACATGGGTATTATATATTTTCTCTTTATTTTACTTTTTTTTTATAACTATGTTGATTTTTAACCATTCTACCTTTTTATAATATATATAGTTTAAGTTATGTGCCTCTTATCGCCCCTTCTACCACAGAGACGCGCGTTCAATATCTTTCAAGTATTTCCGACTCTTTTATTTATATCGTATCAAGAATGGGAACAACGGGCTTTCGTTCTGAAGTCAATAATAAACTGCCTGATTTGATTGGCAGAGTTCGCAAATACACCAATATTCCTCTTGCGGTTGGTTTTGGTGTTTCTACTAGAGAACATTTTCAACTCGTTGCATCACACGCCGATGGCGTGGTCATTGGTACTAAAATTGTTGATGTCTTAAAAAAGGCTGGTGCTTACATTTAATCAGTTTAATTTCGTAATTCAATTTTTAAATGAAACTATAAGTAATGCTATTAGTTTAAAATCTTCATTTAATCGCCTAGAAAAGGGGAAACGCGCTGAAAGCGTAAAAGCATATGCTTTAGAAGTATGTGGCTTATCATCTGGACATAGAGACGAAGGTATGAGGTACCTTTGATACACTCTATTACATATTTAAGTTATTTGCTAATTTTTTTTTATAGTTTACAATATGAATGCGAATGTGGATCAAAATGTTCAAAACGATTGTGTAAAAGCCAATATGATGAAAGCCGATGTATATATTTTTAAATTTTACGTAAATCTAACTGAATTTTTTTTAATGGATATTAACATGTGTAATTATTTTGTTTTCTTAGAGAAGTGTACCTTATATCCTTTCCCCACGGTTCGGTGATTTTGGAGGTCAATACGTGCCGGAAGCTTTGTTTGACTGCATAATGGAACTTGAAAAAGTATTATCACGTTTTGTAAATCGAACATCGTTCATATTTGCAGATGATCATAATGATTTTATTAATATTTCAGGCATTCATAGAAGCCAAAAATGATCCTAATTTTTGGAAAGAGTATCAATCTTACTACGATTATATGGGTAGAGAATCAAAACTACAGTATGCTAATAGGTTAACTGATGATATTGGTGGTGCAAGAATATGGCTAAAAAGGGAAGACCTGAACCACACAGGTTCACATAAGATCAATAACGCTATTGGGCAAGTTCTTCTTGCCAAACGTATTGGAAAAACGAGAATTATCGCGGAAACAGGAGCTGGTCAACATGGCGTAGCAACTGCAACTGCCTGTGCTAAGTTTGGATTAGAATGTGTTGTGTATATGGGTAGCGAAGATGTTCGAAGACAGGCATTAAATGTGTTCAGAATGAGATTGTTAGGAGCATCTGTCGTATCCGTAGACTCTGGTTGTTTTTTTTATTAACTTTATGCATAATTAATTGGGTTGAATCATATTTATAATCTTTAAAATATATTTACAGGCAGTAGAACATTAAAAGATGCTATCAATGAGGCTATGCGAGATTGGGTAACTAATGTTCAAAATACACATTACGTTGTTGGATCAGCAATAGGGCCACATCCGTTTCCAACCATTGTACGAGAATTTCAATCAGTGATTGGCAAAGAGGCACGTGAGCAAATGTTAAAGAAAGCCGGTAAATTACCCGATTTAGTTATTGCTTGCGTTGGTGGTGGCAGTAATGCTATTGGAATATTCGCTCCATTTATTGATGATAAGGACGTTAAGATGGTTGGGGTTGAAGCTGGTGGTGATGGTAATTTTGTTTTCCTTTTTTTTTTTTTTTTAACTTTTAGCATATAAACATTCAAGCTTATTATTTATTATTTATTTATTATAGGAGTTAATACAAAGTTTCATTCAGCAACCTTGTCCGTTGGCACACCAGGTGTGTTACATGGTACACGTACTTACTTATTACAAGATGACAAAGGACAAATCAACGAGACACATAGTATCAGTGCCGGGTTAGATTATCCTGGTGTAGGCCCTGAACATTCTTGGTTAAAGGAGACTGGCCGCGTTGAATATGTCGCTGTCACTGACAAAGAAGCTTTAATTGGATTTAGAAAGATATCAGAGCTAGAGGGTATCATTCCAGGTATGTTCGACTAAATAATGTGAGCCTTCGTCATGTGTATCCCCTAATAATACATCTCTAATATATTCAAACAGCCCTTGAAACAAGTCATGCTATCTATCAAACTATACAACTTGCATCCAATATGCGCAAAGATCAAGATATTTTATTATGTGTCAGTGGCCGTGGTGATAAGGACGTTTCATCGGTTGCAGAAGCATTGCCGAAATATGGACCTCAGATCGGATGGGATTTGCGGTTTTAATATATTTAGTATATATATCAGATATATAACTATTCTAAAAATGTATATTTTCCGTCTCTCTGCGGTGTAATTTAAAAAATTTGATTGGATTCCTAATCTGTTTATCAGTGAATGGCACTGCATAAATTTGTGTAAATGTAAATCTGTTTACCATGTGAACTGCCTTATGTTTATTTTCATTTGTCCAATTGAACATTGAAACGTATTTGTTTTTTTTTTAACGAACCTTGTTTGCGCTAAATTTACAAAGTTTTATTATGGAAACGATTGTAGTAACAGTAATATCGGTTATTATGGATGTATCAACTATAATTAAAAGTAAGGCTCATTGCAATGCGAAGTAATTTCTATCTTTCTACTTACGTACCTTCTTGGTACTTTTCATTGTATCTACTACCATTGTTCATTCATCTGCGGTAAAGGTTTTTAATTCTTATACTGTATTATAGTTTGGGCGGCAACTTTAGGCTTAAGAACGTAACAAAGTAGGTGGGTGTGTTTTAAAAATGCAGCTTAATTAAATTATCAGTATTTTATATCTGATATACACGATATCGATAATTGGCTATAATTTAAATTTGAGTTGACGTAGTTGACGTATATGCTAGTATAGTTAAATAAAGATTAAAGGTCCGATAAGATTATCAATGCAAAGATTTAAATAAGGTTTACAATTAAAAGATAGTCTTGATCGACATTACAAGTTCATCTGATTGTAATTATATCTTTTTTGACTGTTAATAAATTAGAACTTCAATGCGAATGATTGGTTTAAAGAGTGTAGATATTCATTTCAGTCTTTACATGTATAATTTGAATACAACTTCACGCTTAATACCTCACCTTTTACGGTCATAAACTCCCATTTCATTATAACGTTTATAATATACCAATGAAAATATAAATTTGAATTTCGCTTTTTATCATAATACATAAGCGTATAGCATAATACGATCTCAAAAATATATTCTCTGTATAAAACAACACTTAATTGCAAGTATTGTTTATTGAAAATATGGCAATTCACTATTATAATAATTCAAGAACTTCTATAGTGATTTTTAAGT